AAAGAGGTGGTGGAGTCGTGTTTTGGGCCGGAATCATGGGAAGAGAGCTGGTCGGCCCCTTTAGGGTCCCCGAAGGTGTAAAGATGACCTCTGCAAAGTATATGGAGTTTCTGACTGACAACTTTCTTCCCTGGTACAGAAGGAAGAACTATGCTTTCCGTAATAAAATCATCTTCATGCATGACAATGCACCATCTCATCAGAATTAGGTGCCCTTAAAAGCACAGACGTAAGGGTTAGTTATTATTTTTGACAGGTAGCGGCATTTATCAACCGCAAGATTCTGATCAAGCTGATATCACTAATTATTGTCTCACAGATCGCGGCTTTTCCTTATAATAACAGCACTAGCTATATTTATTTGTTTCCGTAAACCCATGAAACTCTGTAGTTTAGATATCTTTATCATTTGCACTTGTATTATCTTGTTTCTTTTTTTCTATGCTCAGGGGATTTTGACAGTAATTCACTTAAAGTTTGGCTTCACCAAACTAGACATTTAGGTGACAATCCCCCCTTGTTTTGTTTCGTTTTCATTTTATTTCTGCTTACCTAAAATATAATTAAAATGTGAGAAAAGATATATAAAGTCAGATCACCATAATCACGGAAATATGTGAAATGGTGAAAACTGTCTTATAAGAAGCCTACCTCAGAGCTACACTATAAGGGGTAACCAAAGAAAATATAATTAAATGGCGGAGACCCTTGAAACAAGGGGATCCCAGGAGTAGCTGCTGAACACACAGAATAAGTGGTATAGTAACCAGATGGTAAAAAAAAAGAGAAAAAGGGGATATATATATATATATAAGTGGATAAAAAGGTTAAGGGAAATAAACAGAGATACCCTGTACTACCCATATACTTAATATACAGCAAAGGAATGTCCCTAAATGAAAGAGAGATCTAGCCATACGTACTAGCACTAATATCCAAATCTAGGACATCTAAGCTGTGTAGATGATGTAACACAAAATATGTGTAATGTATAAAGTACCCCACTAATATAAAGGCAGGCAAAAAGGAACCTGTACATAAATAAATGGGGAAAGGGAAAAGATAAGGGCAGACCCAATATGGACTAGCCTTAGGTCCAGAGGAGCCCCCCAGGACCAAGAAAATGCCTGCCTAGAAAAGTCTCTTTAAATACCAAAATCATAGATTGCTAACTATGCTGACTAACTAAATCAAAGCATACTGACTACCTAAGTGCTACCTAGTGTAAAAAGAAAAAAACATAAATAAATAAAGGAAAGCGCTCAACGCGTGTTTCAACGTGCATACACGCCTTCATCAGGAGCTATTGCAGATTCAGGTCCTACTGAAGCCGGTTAAATACCTGAACAATCAGAGGGAAATCCCTCCAGCTGGTCCGACGTGTGGGAGGGAGTGGATGGCTGACGTATAGTCGCCACTCCTCCTCAACCGCGTCATCTCTTATGCTGGAATATCATTAGATAGTGCCGAGATAAATCACTGAAGAATGGGGGGGGAGGGGGGTTGTGCACAGACACTCCTCCCCTAGACTCCGCGGTGACTATCAGATTCCGAAGTGTATTAGCTTTGGGGAATCTGTCAATCATTCGCGATAGGGGGAGGGTGCAAAATCGAGCATCCCTCCTCCTATTATCGTGGATAGCATAAGGCTGACTAGCCAATATATATTGTATAACATTGGGGAATATCCAAGTATGTCACAGGGAGGGGGTTATATAATTAAACCCTCCTTCATCTAAAAGCACGACTGGCATGAACCTGACTGGCAAATCACACAGTCAGTCATCATGCCTTCTGTCAATATACAGATCACAGAATACATGCCTCCAAAGTCATAAATACATTAAAGGCATATAATTATAACTTGATAACCTCAATGTGTAGTGTTAATTGTCACAAGAACACCCTTTGTTCTCGCAGTCATATATTTACAATTTGCCTTGACATTAAAGTATATGACCCAACTGTCTAGCACTTACATTGGAATTCATATTTATTATAATGGACAGCCAAGTATCAGTCTTAAGTTGGGTCTACACTATAAAGGGTTAGATATTCTTTATGCTGTACGAGTAATAAAACACCACTTGAAGTTAGAATTAGCTATTAATACTGATTGATCTCAAATGAAATTCACAACCATTTTATACAGCCATATAATGTAATTAGGTAAAGAACCTATCAGGGTCCATGCAACTAATTCATAGAAAATAAGATAAATTTATTTATTTACATATAAACATATTTACAGACAGCAAAAAAAATATATATATATAAGGTAAATCAGATGGTTACATAGAATCTGTTGATGGAAAGTACCTATCGGTCTACAAAAATGATGAAAACGAAAAACCTTTGTTTAATCCCTGTGGTGACAGTGTTTTCAATTTATATATCCAGTAGGATTCTCTTTGTTTGAGTCTACGATCCCAATCCCCTTTACGTTGTGTTTGGGTTATGAGTTCTATGCCCATAAAGCGTATCCTACTGGATGAATTGGCATGATATATCTTCAGATGCCTTGAGATGGGAGTTTCCAATTTACTTCTGACTGAGTTGACATGTTCTCTAATGCGGACCTTAAAAGGCATTTTCTTGGTCCTGGGGGGCTCCTCTGGACCTAGGGCTAGTCCATATTGGGTCTGCCCTTGTTCCTTTCCCTTTCCCTTTCCCCATTTATTTATGTACAGGTTCCTTTTTGCCTGCCTTTATATTAGTGGGGTACTTTATACATTACACATATTTTGTGTTACATCATCTACACAGCTTAGATGTCCTAGATTTGGATATTAGTGCTAGTACGTATGGCTAGATCTCTCTTCCATTTAGGGACATTCCTTTGCTGTATATTAAGCAGTGGATAGTACAGGGTGCATATAGGGTATCTCTGTTTATTTCCCTTCACCTTTTTATCCACTTAAATATATATATCCCCCTTTTCTCTTTTTTTACCATCTGGTTACTATACCGCTTATTCTGTGTGTTCAGCAGCTACTCCTGGGATCCCCTTGTTTCAAGGGTCTCCGCCATTTAACTAAAATATAATTACCTTTTCTGACATTGTGCCAGCCATAAGTACTTTTGCAGTTTGTTACAATTTTCCAGCCACATGACTGTATCGAAAAGTAACTATTGCTTCTGACGAGAAATCCACATAAATGATTTAACTTATGGCTGCTTTTTGGAGAATTTAGGACTTTATAGTCTCCTTTTTGCTCAATGGGACTCTCCAGTGCCAGGAAAACAATCCGTTTTCCTGGCACTGCAGGTCCCCTCTCCCTCCCACCTCCCATCCCCGGTTGCTGAAGGGGTGAAAAAGGGGTTCAGTCACTTACCAAAGGCAGCGACGATGTCCCTCGTCGCTGCTTCTTGGTCCGCCGCCGCTCCTCCTCTTCATTACGTCAGCCGGCAGGGGAGACTGATCATGCCCGCCGGCTGGGGAGACCTAAAGCGCATGCGCGGCAATGCCGTGCACGCGCATTAGACCTCTCCATAGGAAAGCACTGAAAATGCTTTTCAATGCTTTCCTATGGGGATTTTAGCAACGCTGGAGGTCCTCACACAGCGTGAGGATGTCCAGCAACTCTAAAGCACAGAAAACCTGTGCTATGGACCAGTTAGTGCCCTCTAGTGGCTGTCTAATAGACAGCCACTAGGGGAGGACTTAACCCTGCAAGGTAATTATTGCAGTTTATGAAAACTGCAATAATTACACTTGCAAGGTTAAGGGTAGTGGGAGTTGGCACCCAGACCACTCCAATGGGCAGAAGTGGTCTGGGTGCCTGGAGTGTCCCTTTAAGGTACTTATCATTTACCCTTTGTAAATATACCTTATCCCCTGTATAAATCCCTTTTATTCCAGAAGTTTGGTCCTTAAGGGGTTAAAAGCATTATTGAACTTTGAAAATTATTTTCATAACTCCAAAAATTACCTTTTTTTTTAGAAAACAACTGAAACCATGAAAAAAAAACAGTATGCATTTTTTAATTTACATGCGGTTTCCTCCTGCTCCCCCCCCCCAAAAAAAGTATTTCATTAAGATAAAATGTTCATGAAATACCCACATGACTGTCTTTGAATTTTGCTGAAATACCAACGCAGTCAAAAGATATCTTTTTCTTATGCATTTTTTCTGCACTTAACAAAACTTGATGAAAGGCAGAGCTTCCACCATTAAGCTTTGTCAATTTACTCCCCCCCAAAGAGGCTCTGTCTATGGAGGCTCCATAGACATCATTGTAGTACTCTTGTGCCAGATTGCAACTCTGATGTGGCCTCCTGGCAGACGAAGCACCAGTAGCTGAAGAGGATCCATTGGATGGTCATTGCAGCAGCAATGGGCAGCTTCAGGTAAGTACCCCCAGGGACCCCACACCAAGTGGCGAAGTCTCGATGATAACAGAGCCGGTTGAAACTGAAAATTGTTAGGAATTGGCAGAGGAATTTCAGTTGCTAAATTTCAATTTAACTAGCTACTGTCAATTCTTCATAATGTGTGGTTCAGAGAATAAACTTAATTGTGTCCTTGAATGACTTCCAAACTCACTACCTATGTGGTTTATGCCGTGCAATTACAGACAGTGAAAAAGAAACAGCACTATTAAATAAAATCCACATTGATTTTTTTCTTCTTATTCTTGATTCATCAAAATATAACTTTCAAACTTGTACTATATATAAACAGTATTTTTTAAAGATTAGTGTATTAATAATGTGGTTATAGAATACGATGGGATACATCAAGGCCGTTGAATTCAGTTGAATTCCACACACATACATACATCTCTCAGCTTTCCTGCTGTGTGTCTGTAACATATATATGATATATTAAAGGCTCATAAAGTAACTAATGTCTTAATGTTTCCACCTTTATAACTTAAGTGTGTGTGTTTGTGCCATTAGATCAATGCCCTTATATAAGGTTCACTCGTATAACAGTTTTAGAACATTTAGTTTATTTAAATAATAGTAAAAAAAAAATACAATAAACATAGTATGTCTTCATTCATATCACAACAAAGGAGTGATTCAAATTAATTACACAATAAATATATAAATTCGATTGATTGAAAAATCTCATAATTACACATCGTGTGATCAGAACAATTCTGATTGGTCAAGGTTCTGCCGGCAAAACCAGTTTAGACCAGACAAAAAATATGTATGGTGTGTGTGTCTATATATATATATATATACATATATATATATATATATATATATTTGTGCAACATACACTTTGTATATTTTATAGTGATCATAAGGCAACACCTTCACACTGATATATGTATAAGTGTACCTTATTTAGGTATATTAAGAGTTCCTGGGGATGTCACAATCTTACTATAAACATCCTGTTTTACTAACAAATGCTGTAATATAGATACTGACCACAGTGTGTCACAGAGCCTTCACTTTGGGACATATAGTGACATATAGCCAGGATACTTTATATATGCTGCATCCATAGATTTAATGTTATACTGCATTACTCTGATTGCATGGGACTTTATTGCTGAACTATATATTCTGCATTATTTAAAGTGACTCAGTATATTTCCATCACTATCATCGAGGAAAAAAACAAAATAAAAATTCTCTTATATTACCACTGAATAAAACTGCCACAGGGATAAGGATTTCCTTGGGTGTTACTGTCCTGCAGTGGTGTCACTGGGAGGGCAGAGGGGGCCATGGCCCCCCCTACATCATGCTGTGGCCATGTTCTTCAATTCTATTCCCTCAGACTGTAACAATCTGTGACAGCGTGAGGGAATGAAGGACTGAGGTGCCGGGTGTTGTCTGTGGCTGGAGGGAGCACTGACAGGCTCCCGGCACAGGCCCCACCCCCACATGAAGCCCCACCTCCTGTAGATAAGCCCCCTCACCCCTGCCGTTAAGCAGCAGACCATGCTGCTGCTGGAAAGAATGGAAGATGGCTGTCTGACCCCCAGCAACAGCCTCCAGTGACAGGTAGGCTTATTGTATGTGTGTGTGTGTGTGTGTGTGTGTCTATGGATTCAGTAGAGTCTGTGTGTTTGTGTGTGGACTCAGCAGTCTGTGTGTGTGTATGGACTCAGCAGTCTGTGTGTGTGTGTGTGTGGACTCAGCAGTCTGTGTGTGTGTGTGTATGGATTCAGCAAAGTCTGTGTGTATGTGTGTGTGTGTGTGTGTGTGTGGACTCAGCGGTGTGTGTGTGTATGGACTCAGCGGTCTGTGTGTGTGTGTGTGTGTGTATGTGGACTCAGCAGTCTGTGTGTGTGTGTGTATGGACTCAGCGGTCTGTGTCTGTATGGACTCAGCAGTCTGTGTGTGTGTATGGACTCAGCAGTCTGTGTGTGTGTATGGACTCAGCAGACTCAGCAGTCTGTGTGTGTGTGTGTGTGGACTCAGCTGTGTGTGTGTGTGTGTGTGTGGACTCAGCTGTGTGTGTGTGTGTGTGTGTGTGTGTGTGTGTGTGTGGACTTAGCAGTCTGTGTGTGTGTGTGTATGGACTCAGCATCTGGGTGTGTGTGTGTGTGTGTATGGACTCAACAGTCTTTGTGTGTGTGTGTGTGTGTGTGTGTGTGACTCAGCAGTCTCTGTGTGTGTGTGTGTGTGTGTGTGGAACTCAGCAGTCTGTGTGTGTGTGGACTCTGCAGTCTGTGTGTCTGGGTGTGTGTGTATGAACTCAGCAGTCTGTGTGTGTGTATGAACTCAGCAGTCTGTGTGTGTGTCTGTGTGTGTGTGTGTATGAACTCAGCAGTCTGTGTGTGTGTCTGTGTGTGTGTGTGGACTCAGCAGTCTGTGTGTGTGTATGGTCTCAGCAGTCTATGTGTGTGTGTATGGACTCGGCACGCAGTCTGTGTGTGTGCATGGACTCAGCAGTCTGTGTGTGTGTATGGACTCAGCAGTCTGTGTGTGTATGGACTCAGCAGTTTGTGTGTGTGCATGGACTCAGCAGTCTGTGTGTGTGCATGGACTCAGCAGTCTGTGTGTGTATATGGACTCAGCAGGCAGTGTGTGTGTATGGACTCAGCAGTCCGAGTGTGTATATGGACTCAGCAGTCTGTGTGTGTCTGGACTAAGCAATCTCTGTGTGTATGGACTCAGCAATCTGTGTGTGTCTGGACTCAGCAATCTCTGTGTGTATGGACTCAGCAGTCTGTGTGTGTGTGTGTATGGACTCAGCAGTCTCTGTGTGTATGGACTCAGCAGTCTGTGTGTGTGTGTATGGACTCAGGAGTCTGTGTGTGTGTGTGTGTATGAACTCAGCAGTCTGTGCGTGTGTATGTGTGTGTGTATGAACTCAGCAGTCTGTGCGTCTGTGTGTGTGTGTGTATGAACTCAGCAGTATGTGTGTGTGTGTGTGTGTGTGTGTATGGACTCAGCAGTCTGTGTGTGTCTGGACTCAGCAGTCTCTGTGTGTATGGACTCAGCAGTCTGTGTGTGTGTGTGTATGGACTTAGCAGTCTGTGTGTATGAACTCAGCAGTCTCTGCGTCTCTGTGTGTGTATGAACTCAGCAGTCTGTGTGTGTATGGACTCAGCAGTGTGTGTGTGTATGGACTCAGCAGTCTGTATTTGTGTATGGACTCAGCATTCTGTGTATGTGTGTATCTGTGTGTGTATATGGACTCAGCAGTCTGTGTGTATTTGGACTCAGCAGTCTGTGTGTGTGGACTCAGAAATCTGTATGTCTGTGTGTGTATGTGTGTGTGTATGGACTCAGCAGTGTGTGTGTGTATGGACTCAGCAGTCTGTGTGTAAGTGTATAAATCAGCCTGTGTGCATTCAGCAACGCCTGTGTGCATTCAGGAGTCTGTGTGCATTCAGAAATCTGTGTGTGTGTATTCAGCAGTCTCTCTGTGTTCGTATTCAGTGTACTGTGTGTAGGTACTCAGCAGTCTATCAATAATTTAAAATTTTATTCCTGTGAGTTGTTGTGTAGGAAGGGCCCCAGTGCACTGCTTTGCCCGGGGCCCTTAACACTGTTAAGACGGTACTGCTTGTGTGTGTAGGTGAGCTTCTATTTAGTGAGCATGTGTGTGTCAGTGAGCTTGTCTTTAGTGAGCTTGTGTGTGTCCCTGAACTTCTTTGTAGTGAGTCTTGTATTTATACAAGTGAGTTTGTCTGTGTTAAGCTTGTGTGTGAGTCAGAGTTTTTTGTTTGTCAGTGAGCCTATTTGCGCATGTCAGTGAACTTGTGTGCTCACTGTACAATATATATATATATATATATATATATATATATATATATATATATATATATATATATATATATTGACTTGTAGGAATGGCATACATTTTTTTCCAGGGCTGCTTTGGATTCCCAGTTTGGCTCTGCCAGCGAGTGCGCTTTACCGCTGAATCATCTGTGTGAGCTGCCGCACACTTTAGCCCTGTTACACGCGTCTGGGAGCTGCTGTTGACAGGTACTAGTAGTCTAGAGATTGGGACATGGGGTATATGCTCAGCTATCTGTATAATACCATAGTGCTGTTCTCTGTATAATACAGATCTGTGTGTGTATAATATCCCAGGATAGTCAGTGCTTCCTGTATAGTGCTGCTCTTTGTATAAAACAGGTCTGTGTCTGTATAATATCATGGAACAGTCAGTGTTCCCTGTATAGTGCTGCTCTCTGTCTTGGGATATTATACACAAACAGACCTGTATTATACAGAGAGCAGCACTATACAGGGAGCACTGACTCTCCCAGGATATTATACACACAGCCATGTATTAAACAGAGAGCAGCACTGTACAGGGACCGCTGACTGTCCCAATTTATTATACACACAACCCTGTATTATACAGAGAGCACTGACTGTCCAAGGATATTATACACAGACAGTAATTGATAGCTGTGCTGCAAAATGTCCTTGAATTTTTTTTTCAAATGTTGGCAACTATGGCACTGTATCAAGGGAAATGTGTTTGGTTTTTTAATAATCCCTGGTGGAAAATAATGAGTCCTCCACCAGGGATTATTAAAAAAAACAAACAACACATTGTGTCGGGGGCAGGGCTTAACATGCGACAGGGGCGGGGTCAAACTGTGACGAGGGCGGGGTTAAATGTGCCCCCCTACTTTTGTCCCTGGCCCACCATGTGCCCCCCCTAAAAATGAATCCTAGAGACGCCACTGCTGTCCTGGAAACAAATCACACACAGTGACTAGCTGGAAAAGGACTGTGCTTCTTTCCCGAGTCGGACGACTCAACTGTCCATATATACAATTGTTTCAAATCAGTTGATACCAGCAAATCTTCTCACACAATAGACAATCTGAGAATAAAAGTGAATGGTGAGTAAGTAAAGATTTTCTAGAAAATATTTAAATGTCAATCTTAACTGTAATTAAAAAAACGAAACAAAACAAAAAACATTGTATATAAAAGAATAAAGAACACACCAATGACATGTCTGTCTCCCTCACTGTCTTGTCTTGATGAGTGTATAGATTAAAAGGCATTCAGGAAAGGCTAAGGTGGCAGCACCCCCAAATAATACATGTGGCATCCGATAATTTCGAGGTCCAAATGAATGCTATGAGTTGAATATGAATAGTTGCTCAATGCTTATTGTCATTCAGCGTCCTTTGCCTTTACTGCTATGCCAATTATTTACCCGTATTTGAAACACATCAGAAAGATGTTTATTGAAATACCTTTTAATCTATACATTAACTAGACATTAGGAATATAGGTTTATTCTACTTTACTGATACCAAGTCATGTTTAATAAGACAGGCACACTATAAAACAACACCATATATACTTCTTGAGGCTCATTTGCATTAATATTTTCCCAAAACATTCAAAAAATATTAGAATTTTAAAATAAAAATAGGACATGGCATGAGTTGAATATCATATCTCCCAACTCTGGCACGCCAATGGGAGGCGGTTAAAGAGAGTGGACAAGTAATGTGATCACGTCACCGGTGCTTTCCAAAGGGGGTGCACCCTCCAAGAAAGATTAAGTCTTTTAATCATCTAATGCCAGTCCACCATGGGCAGGACTTGCAGGGAGTACCACACAGTGTTCTCTGCAGGATCCTATTGCCCTTAACATAACACAAGCGCATCATAGGGGACAGATCCAAGAAAAGCGGGACACCAAGGAACTAAGTTGGGATGGCATGACAGTAAAACAAAAATCGGGAATTTCACACAAAAAATTGGATATTTGGTATGCATGGCATATGGACAAGGTTAGACACAAATAACTGTTATCAATGGCCAGTAAAATAAGTGTCCTGCTAGGCAACTGCTTAGTGTGTTTATAGTAGAAGCCAGTTAACTGCTAAAGAGTCAACACACCACATGTGGAAAATGGTTGATTGTGCTTGACTTATTTCTGCATTGTTAGAAAACACACAAAAAAGTATTACTCTGGTTGACTTTTACCACTGTAAAATAAAAAAAAGAAATAAAAAAAATACGAGGTCACTATTGAGAAAAAATTGTTGTTCAATCTTAAAAGAAAGAAAATGTATGTGATTTATTTTAAAAGGGTCAATTTGCAGTGATTTTAGAACATTTAGAAATTAAGTACACATTACATGTTAGTGAAAACCAGTTTGAAAGTACACACTTACAAGAAAGGTTGTACTAATAAGTGTGACCGTGTACCAATGCTGACCGCCAAAGCGATGAGAAATATGGCCCAGTTGGGAAGCACAGCGCTTGCCGAGCTCACTAAAAGGAAAAAGAAAAAATATATAGTTAAGTAACTTAGCTTTTTATTTGTTTTATTTCAATTCAATATGGCAGTCTTTGTAGAAAAACTTACCAGTAGTTGAAGAGGTTGCAGTTGTACTAGTGATAGTTTTATTTGTAACACTTTTAGTTCCACTTGTTGGTGCTTGTTGGGTCACAGTGCTTGATGAGGTCAGTGCATTGCTTGTGGTTGGAACATTGGCTTTTGTGCTTGAAGTTGATATGCTACCTGTACCAGTGGTAGAGGTCATTGTATTATTTGTTCCTGTTGGTTTGCTCAAAGATGTTTTAAATGAAGTTACTGTCTGTCCTGATGAAGCAGTAGTTGCACTAGTGGCAGTGGTCATTGTATTTGATGACACAACACTGACAGTAGTCACTGTAGTGGTTAAACTTGTGGCATTTGGAAATCCTGTACTGGAAGATGAAAGTTGACTGGTGATAGCAGTACTTGAAGGGTTCACAGTTTTGCTTGTGGATGTTGATTGGGTATTGTTTGCCACAATTACAGTTGCCCCTGTGTTGCTTGATGGTGATTGACTATTACTGGATGTTAGCTGACTACTAGTTCCAGTGTCAGTAGATGTCACAGTACTGGCTGATGTGTGACTATCTGTGAAAGTAATAGATGAGTTAGGAGTGTTGCCAGTGGGTATTGAAGAGGTTGGAGTGTTAATAGTGGATTCTGATTGGCTGTTGGTAGCAGTACTGGATGATGTACCTATGTTGGCTGATGGTGGTTGACTGCTGGTCTCTGTACCAGAAGAGGTTAGAATGTTAGTAGTGGATTCTGATTGGCTGTTGCTAGCAGTATTGGATGATGTTCCTGTGCTGGCTGATGATGGCTGACTGCTGGTCTCTGTACCAGAAGAGGTTAGAGTGTTAATGGTGGATTCTGATTGGCTGTTGGTAGGAGTATTGGATGATGTTCCTGTGCTGGGTGATGATGGTAGACTGCTGGTCTCTGTACCAGAAGAGGTTAGAGTCTTAGTAATGGATTCTGATTGACTGTTGGTAGCAGTATTGGAAGATGACCCTGTGTTGGCTGATGGTGATTGACTGCTGGTCTCTGTACCAGTACCAGAAGAGCTTAGAGTGTTAGTAGTTGACTCTGATTGGCTGCTGGTAGCAGTATTGGATGATGTTCCTGTGCTGGGTGATGATGGTAGACTGCTGGTCTCTGTACCAGAAGAGGTTAGAGTGTTAGTAATGGATTCTGATTGACTGTTGGTAGCAGTATTGGAAGATGTCTCTGTGTTGACTGATGATGATTGACTGCTGGTCTCTGTACCAGAAGAGGTTAGAGTGTTAGTAGTGGATTCTGATTGGCTGTTGGTAGCAGTATTGGATGATGTTCCTGTGCTGGGTGATGATGGTTGATTGCTGGTCTCTGTACTAGGAAAAGTTAGAGTGTTAATGGTGGATTCTGATTGGTTATTAGTAGCAGCATTGGCCGATGTCCCTGTGTTGACTAATGGTGACTGACTGCTGGTCTCTGTACCAGAAGAGCCTAGAGTGTTAGTAGTGGATTCTGATTGGCTCTTGGAAGCAGTATTGGATGATGTCCCTGTGTTGACTGATGGTGATTGACTGCTGGTCTCTGAGCCAGTACCAGAAGAGCTTAGAGTGTTAGTACTGGATTCTGATTGGCTGTTAGTAGCAGTATTGAATGATGTATCTGTGTTGACTGATGATGATTGACTGCTGGTCTCTGTACCAGAAGAGGTTAGAGTGTTGATGGTGGATTCTGATTGGTGAATAGTAGCAGTATTGGATGATGTCCCTGTGTTGACTAATGGTGATTGACTCCTGGTCTCTGTACCAGAAGAGCCTAGAGTGTTAGTAGTGGATTCTGATTGGCTGTTGGTAGCAGTATTGGATGATGTTCCTGTGCTGGGTGATGATGGTAGACTGCTGGTCTCTGTACTAGGAAAAGTTAGAGTGTTAATGGTGGATTCTGATTGGTTGTTGGTAGCAGTATTGGATGATGTATCTGTGTTGACTGATGATGATTGACTGCTGGTCTCTGTACCAGAAGAGGTTAGAGTGTTGATGGTGGATTCTGATTGGTGATTAGTAGCAGTATTGGATGATGTCCCTGTGTTGACTGATGGTGATTGACTGCTGGTCTCTGAGCCAGTACCAGAAGAGCTTAGAGTGTTAGTACTGGATTCTGATTGGCTGTTAGTAGCAGTATTGAATGATGTATCTGTGTTGACTGATGATGATTGACTGCTGGTCTCTGTACCAGAAGAGGTTAGAGTGTTGATGATGGATTCTGATTGGCTGTTGGTAGCAGTATTGGATGATGTTCCTGTGCTGGTTAATGATGGTTGACTGCTGGTCTCTGTACCAGAAGAGGTTAGAGTGTTAGTAATGGATTCTGATTGACTCCTGGTAGCAGTATTGGACGATGTCCCTGTGTTTGCTGATGGTGATTGACTGCTGGTCTCTATACCAGAAGAGCTTAGAGTGTTAGTAGTGGAGCCAGATTGGCTATTGGTAGCACTATTGAACGATGTCTCTGTGTTGACTAATGGTGGTTGACTGCTGGTCTTTGTACCAGGAGAGGTTAGAGTGTTAATGGTGGATTCTGATTGGTTGTTGGTAGCAGTATTGGATGATGTCCCTGTGTTGGCTGATGGTGATTGACTGCTGGTCTCTATACTAGGAGAGGTTAGAGTGTTGATGGTGGATTCTGATTGGCTTTTGGTAGCAGTATTGGATGATGTTCCTGTGCTGGTTAATGATGGTTGACTGCTGGACTCTGTACCAGAAGAGGTTATAGTGTTAGTAATGGATTCTGATTGACTGGTGGTAGCAATATTGGAAGATGTCCCTGTGTTGGCTGATGGTGATTGACTGCTGGTCTCTGTATCAGGAGAGGTTAGAGTGTTGATGGTCGATTCTGATTGGTGATTAGTAGCGATATTGGACGATGTCCCTGTGTTGACTGATGGTGATTGACTGCTGGTCTCTGTACCAGAAGATGTTAGAGTGTTAGTAGTGGATTCAGATTGGCTATTGGTAGCAGTATTGGGCGATATCCCTGTGTTGACTGATGGTGATTGACTGCTGGTCTCTGTACCAGAAGAGCTTAGAGTGTTAATAGTGGAATCAGATTGGCTATTGGTAGCACTATTGAATGATGTCTCTGTGTTGACTAATGATGATTGACTGCTAGTATCTGAAATGGGAGAGTTCAAAGTGTAGCTTGTGGAAGGTGATTGACTGCTGCCCCCAGTGTTTGAAGATGTCTCTGTGCTGGCTAAAAGAGATTGGCTACTAGTGTCACTCCCAATAGTTGAAGAGACTGCAATGCTGCTGGTAGCTGTTGACTGGTGACTGACTGTTGTCCCCACATTAGCTGATGATAGTGGGCTATCAGTTTTTCCAGTGGATTGGCTGCTACTGGTGGCAGTTGTAAGGCTGCTGCTGGAAGATGCAGCAGTTGTCATAGTTATTGTAGCCTGACTAATAGTCCCAGTGCTAGGCTGCGTAGCTGTACTTATAGTCGAGCTACTAGTTAAAGTGGTTACAGGGGCAGCTGTTGTTGTAGGGTTTAACTGATTTATTAGGTTCTGAATCAATTGTACTAGTTGCTGGATCAAACTATTGAGTATCTCAAGAGCGGATGATGAATTCTGCGCTTCGACCTTGGAAACTGTGGAAAACAAAAACATCATATTAGATTTTTTAATAACAACATAATAACAAGCCAAATCATAGGACATCTTAATCAATCTTAATCATCTTAATACACTCTCCCACGCCATAGCATTACCAAAAAATGACTGGAATAAAGATATCCAACGACATTCTCAAAGAAACCCTTCTATAATGACGTTCTAAAACAAAACTATTGAGATCATAAGTAGGGATTTTGAATCCACAGCCAAGTTGTTAGATTTAGGTAAAACCTTTCAGACAGATTTTTTTTTCTACTTTCACTGCTTCACCCTAATAGCAGAACTGTTAAATAAATCCCTTAGTGTGTCAACATTTAAATTATGATTAACATCTCAGGGCAAATATAACAGAAAAAGATTTTTTAAAGCCTATTGACAGGTGCTCAGTGTAGAGATCAGAATCCATTTCTTACTTTCTTAGTGAATTTGTTTTCTTACAGCATTGATTTTTTTTCAATCAATCTTTTCAGTTGATTTATTTTAACACTGATTGCTACCACAATGCTGATATGGCGAATATCAGTCAATTATCTAGCGATCAACAAGTCAGTCCATGGTAGCTCGTTGAAATGTCTCTTGATGTATTGCTAAACGTTGCTATACATGACATGTACAACCGGCTCTCTATTGCTTTTTATTGCTGCCACACCACAGACAATCTTTAATGCATGTATCAATGTATGAGAAACATTTGATATCATCATTCACAAATAAAGGTTATAGGACAGATTAACTCTATGCCCATTCTTCTTTGGATTTATTCTTAACCCCTTAAGGACACAACTTCAGAAATAAAATGGAATCATGACGGAATAATTCCGTCATGTGTCCTTAAGGGGTTAAAGGAGCACTATAGTGCCAGGAAAACAAACTTGTTTTCCTGGCACTATAGGGTTATTAGGTTCCCCCCCTCCCTCGGAGCCCCCTCCCACTAGGCTGAAAGGGTTAAAACCCCTTCAGCCACTTACCTTAATCCAGCGCCGGGCTCCCTCGGCGCTGGTGACCTCTCCTCTCCCTGCCGACGTCAGCTACAAATGCGCATCCGCGGTCAGAGCTGTGCGTGCATTCAAGCGGCCCATAGGAAAACATTACTCAATTGTTAAAGACAGGGCTAAATAAACACAAAATTAAAACATATGGGACGGGACAGCTCCCCTTTAAGGTCGCATGCCCAGAAACAAAATGCTTGAACATGTAATTTGTCTAAAGAAGTGCTTCTGTCAATATCATTGGGAGATTTTAACCCGTTAAGGGTTAAACATGCCATGGGTGTCACGGTAAAATACAATTAGCCAAATACGACACATTAAAAAGAGCTCATAAATGTATTTCTTTTCAACGCTGGATATATATGGCTTTACTAGTTTATATAATAGTCATTATCAATAACAGCTGTTTATCCAGAGAGTAATTATATCATCATTTTAGAGTGAAGAAGGAATTTTTTTTTTTGTTTATAAAGAGATATTGCTTTAATCGGTTATATTTATTGTCTTGTGGGCCAACACCAAAAATGGAATCTGTGAAAATGGTGACTTATTTGAATTTTATGCTTTTCAAGCTGTTAGTATGTTACCCGGCCATCATTTTCACAATGGATTCCTCTTATTGCTGTAATATCGATAGACTTGCTGCCCTATTGTGTAACACAGACCCAGTTATTCATCTTGACGCTCACTAACACATTGACACATATCGTTAAAGCATGTTTTCTTTCAACTGTTGTCAAGGCAACATGAACAAACAGCATGACTGGGAGATTATTAGAACAATGATCAGTACATACTAACCATAAATACCACCATAGGCGTGCGCAGCCTATTGCATTAGGGTGTGCACCCTAAAGCACAAGCACACGCCGCATATATATATGTATGTATGTATGTATGTGTATATATATATATATATATATATATATATATATACACATATATACACACATACACACACTGCTGTGTGTGTGTGTGCTGTGTGAGGGTGCTGTTAGTGTGATGTGTGTGTGACGGTGCTGGTAGTGTGCTATGTGGGTGAGGGTGTTTGTGTGTGCATGCTTGTGAGGATGCTGTTAATGTACTGTGTGTGAGGGTGTGGTTTGTGTGTGTTTGTGTGCGCTTGTGAGGGTGCTGTTTGTGTGTGAGGGTACTGGTAGTGTGCTGTGTGTGTGTTAGGGTCCTGTTTGTGAGGGTACTGTTAGTGTGCTGTGTGTGTGTGAGGGTGCTGTTTGTGTGTTTGTGAGGGTGCTGTATGTGTGTGTGGGTGCTGTGTTGGTGCTGTATGTGTGTGCGTGCTGTGTGTGTGGGTGCTGTATGTGTGTGGGTGCTGTGTATGTCTGTGGGTGCTGTGTCTGTGGGTGCTGTGTCTGTGGGTGCTGTATGTGTGTGGGTGCTGTATGTGTGTGGGTAATGTGTATGTGTGTGGGTAATGTGTATGCTGTGGGTGCTGTATGTGTGTGGGTGCTGTGTATGTCTGTGGGTGCTGTATGTGTGTGGGTGCTGTATGTCTGTGGGTGCTGTATGTCTGTGGGTGCTGAATGTGTGTGGGTGCTGAATGTGTGTGGGTGCTGTGTATGTCTGTGGGTGCTGTATGTCTGTGGGTGCTGTATGTCTGTGGGTGCTGTATGTCTGTGGGTGCTGAATGTGTGTGGGTGCTGAATGTGTGTGGGTGCTGTATGTCTGTGGGTGCCGAATTTGTGTGGGTGCTGTATGTCTGTGGGTGCTGTATGTCTGTGGGTGCTGTGTATGTCTGTGGGTGCTGTATGTGTGTGGGTGCTGTGTATGTCTGTGGGTGCTGAATGTGTGTGGGTGCTGTGTATGTCTGTGGGTGTTGTATGTGTGTGTGCTGTATGTGTGTGTGGGTGTTGTATGTATGTGTGCTGTATGTGTGTTGTATGTGGGTGGGTGATTGTGGGGGTGGAGGTGGGGGTACATTAATTGCTATCCCCCCTCCCTTCTTACCTTTTGTAGGGAGGGGGGATCGTGCTCCTGATTCCATCCCTGGTGGTCCAGTGGAGAGTGAACTCTAGCCCCCTGCAACGCTCAAATCTCGCGAGAGGAACCCGGCGGAGCTACGGGCAAGAGCTCCGCCGGGTCCTCTCCTGCCTCCCTCCCTGCATGTGGGTCAGTGGGGAGGGAGGCTGAGAGCAGAGCCAGCGCTCGGATAGCGCCGGCTCTGCATGAGCCGACAGGGGAGATCCTGAGATCTCCCCTGCCGGTCTCAATACACATAGGCGTGCCGCGGGGATTAGGGTGTGCCCAGGCACACCCGGCACACCCCGTGCGCACGCCTATGAATACCACTATATATATATATAAGTCATTACAAGACCCCACCCCCCCAAATGTTTCAAAAGAGATTTTTTAACTATGTGTACTCAAAGGATATGTGATATTTTTAGCATTCTAACTGCAAAGTAAAATGATTTGCCCTTTCGGTTAAAATAGCCAAAAGGCTTGTTTAATATGAAATGTCCCTTTAGCAAATTATTGCTTAATCTCTCTTTCAGTAAGTATCACAAGTAAGCTATAATTTCAGTAAAGTACCCTCAATATCGACTCTTGATTCAACAAGTACAACTATACTCAACATTCTTATCTGGTACTCCAGGGCTCCTTCAGAAGGAATTCATAACCACAAGATGATAAACTTGATTCTTGATTTTTTTTTTTTTTTTTTTAATCTTGTTAATAGTCTTATATATTGTGGTAGGAGTTAAATAGGAGAGAAATAAGAATTGGGTGGATAACAGTTACATCAATGAAAAATAACAGATGTCATAACATTGCCTGCATTGCAATATGATTTATAAAGATCATTACTCCCTGGCCTCTGTTACAGTATACGTAGTGTATCAATGTTACTATAGAAAGGAACAAGTATATGAACTAAAACACAACAATATATATATATATATATATATATATATATATATATATATATATATATATATATATATATATATATCATATATATATATATATATATATATATATATAGATATATATATTTATAGTATATTATCCCCTAGAATGTTACAAATGCTTGTCAGCTAGTCAACCTGTTGTACCTGTTTTACAGAATTTATTGCCACTTTATAAATAATAATAGTAATAATAATAACATTTACTGAATAATAACCAAGTATACTACAAGTGCTATTTATATATGTATTATTTGTTATATAAGTATTAATATGTGTTAATTATAATTTAGTATACTTGAATAAAAAAAAAGGTTACTAAGAATTTGCTTAGAATTTATTATACGGTCATATTATTCTTTCTACGTACCTGAAAAAAGCATTATTAACCCACAGAGCATCACCTTGCTAGCTGCAAACATTTGATTTGGTTTTGTTTGAATAAATAGTAGAATAGTTCCTAAGTGAATGTTCCTTGGAGCAGAATGACTGTGAATCCTTTTTGTTAGTTTTATATATCAATACTGAGAAGTGAGAGAGGGTGTGAGATAGACCTCTGACATCACAGTGATGAAGGCATGCCTAAAGGAAATTCATAGCTAGGAGTCAAGGGAGGGGCCAGAATGTGAATGGTAAATATAGAAAGAATGTATTGCTACAGAACAGCATATCAAAGATAAAACAAACGTGTCTTCCTTCTCTTTCTTAGTATAGAGTATGACAGTATATCCTGTGTCTCTATGTACAGTGAGGGGATTTCGAACGTTTGGCCTCTGACAAAAAAAGGATCAGTCTATAATTTTAATGGTAGACGTGAGAGACATAATAACAAACAAAAAAAAAATGTGGGTAGGCAACTCCAAGACTTGATTGTGCTTCTTCATAAACCACTCCTTTGTTGTCTTGGCTGTGTGTTTTGGGTCATTGTCATGCTGGAATACCCATCCACGATCCATTTTCAATACCCTGGCTGAGGGAAGGAGGTTCTCACCCAAGATTTGACGGTACATGGCCCCGTCCATCATCTCTTTGATGCGGTGCAGTTGTCCTGTCCCCTGAGCAGAAAAACACCCCAAAGCATAAAGTTTCCACCTCTATGTTTGACGGTGGGGATGGTGTTCTTGGGGTCATAGGCAGCATTCCTCCTCCTCCAAACACGGCAGGTTGAGGCCAAAGAGCTAGATTTCTGTCTGGTCTGACCACAACACTTTCATCCTGTTCTACTCTGAATCATTCAGATGTTCATTGGCAAACTTCAGACGGGCCTGTACATGTGCTTTCTTGAGCAGGGGGACCTTGCAGGCGCTGCAGAATTTCAATCCTTCATGGCGTAGTGTGTTATCAATTGTTTTTTGGGTGACTCCGATCCCACCTGCCTTGACATCATTAACAAGATCCTCCAGTGTAGTTCTGCGCTGACTCCTCACCGTTCTCATGATCGTTGAAACTCCACAAAGTGAGATCTTACATGGAGCACCAGACCAAGGGACTGACAGTTATTTTGTGTTTCTTCCATTTGCGAAGAATCGCACCAACTGTTGTTACCTTTTCACCAAGCTGCTTGGTGATGGTCTTGTAGCCCATTTCCATTTCTACATTCCTACAGATGTCTACAATTTTGTCCCTGACATCCTTGGACAGCTCTTTGGTCTTGGCCATGGTGGAGAGTTTGGAATCTGATTGATTGCTTCTGTGGACAGTTGTCTTTTATACAGGTAACGAGCTGAGATTAGGAGCACTCCCTTTAAGAGAGTGCTCTTATCTCAGTTTTTTACCTGTATAAAAGACACCTGGGAGCCAGAAATCTTGCTGATTTATAGGGGATGAAATACTTATTTCACTCATTGACATGCAAATCAATTTATAACTTTTTGACGTGTTTTTTCTCGATTTTTTTGTTTTGTTATTCTGTCTCTCACTGTTAAAATACACCTACCATCCTCTAGGAGTTTACGGCACTTGTGCGGGGTGTTCAATCCCCTTCTTTTGTGAGAATATATCTTCATATTGGTGGAAACCAAAGTGGGAGTGCTGTATGTCAGGCTTTGGGTTCTATGTTACGGTGGTGGGTCTGCCAAAACAGTATTTGTGTCGCAGCAGTATTCATCGTAGTGCCGAACTAGTGAGGATTGTATACACCTAGTTGTGTTTTCTCTCTCTCAGTGGGAGGTTGGGCTGGTGTGAGGGGGAAGAGCATGTTAGGTTGGTTGCGTAGCAATCAGGAAAAGGTAAAAGAAAGTATGTACATTAGTCCCCTCCATGGGGGAACAGTGCAATATTTTTGCACCTTGGGGGTAATAAGACCCGGTGTATTGTGTCAGTGGCTAACTGGGCTCTGAGGTAAAATTTTACTTCCCCTGACTGGTAAAGATATAACACAGTAACCATTGATAAAAAATCAAATCAACATAACATATAACTTGATGCTGGCATTAGTAATGTTTTCCCCATTATCTGTTTCCTACATATAGCTATATATTGTGAGCATCCTAAATGAGGTTTATCTTAATGCTCTACTCTAGTGAGGTGTAGAGGGAATTGTGTATTTAAGTAGTTTATATCCCCCGGTTCCCAGCTTGTGTATTAGCTTTGTGCGGGTGAGGTATTCTTAAGGTTTTGCTGGGTTCATGATACTCTAAGTATCCGAGTATATTGGGGGTGGCCTAACAGTCCTCCTGAAGTATTCACTCATGTGTATTAGGATTAACTGCTTCCTGACTCGTTTGGGTTCTTTCATTATATTTCCTATCTAGTAATTTGGGACTCGATGTACCCGTTCAAGCAGCAGCATGTCTTCCGGGATTTCTGGGGCTACGGTATTCATCAAGCTGTGGACATATCTGGGTAAGTCTTCTGGCTGGACTATTTCTGGAACCCCTCTTAAGTGGAGGTTGTTCCTTCTGGCTCGATCCTCCTCATCCAGCATTTTCGATTCCAGAGTTTCAATGTGTTGCTGCAGTTGCTGCATATGGTCGGCCAGATCATTGTGAGCTGCCATGTATTCGGCCATTTTGGTTTCCTTGTGCGCTGTTCTTGTCCCTAGATCTTGTAGGTCCTTGCGCTGCGTGTCCACACTTGATGTTCAGGATTTGATCAGTTTTGTGGGCAAGGAGATGTTGTCTAGTAATATTTTCATCCGTTTTTATGTCCCATGGATCGAAAGCTGGGTTGCTAGCATCCGATGAGCCTCCGCCATCTTGAAGGGCGGCCTGTGCAGCCATAGACACAGGACCAGGCTTTTGGACAAAAAAAAAATTAAGCTTGGCAGCTTTAGAAGTGTTCTTCCTATGTTTTCTGGCTACCTGCACCTTTTAGGCACTTCTTCTGATATTTATAACACCCCAGTCACCCTCCCCTTCTCTAACATCAGTTTTTTTAAGTGTTAAACTATCAGATTGATCACTATTACTTCAGATCTGAGGAATAGAGGAAAACTCTCAAAAGCTTGTCTTTATGTTAGTCCAATAAAAAAGGTATCATTGCATACTGCAATACTCTGGTATTTTGGCAAATAATAATATATATATATTTTTTTCTATTTAAACTATCACATTTACCTGTTATTTTGATCTTGAGACAGACTCTGAGGGGTCGATCGAGCAAATTTCACTGTAATGTAAACTTTGGAATAAACCACAATACTTTGTTTGCACCTGTGAGTGCTCCCTTCCTTACTCAATTTATATATCAACGCGGGATTGCACCAAGGCAGCGATTAAACCAGATTTTGTAAGGGTGAGTGCCAAGTATCTTAAATAAAATAAATATATATATATATGTGTGTGTGTGTATATGTGTACTGGTTCTTGTGCGTGGATGTACATATAGGTGTGCATATACATATATTTGTGCATTTGGTTGCATTTATTATGCTATTATACCTACCAAGGATTATTCTATTTTACCTACCTTATATCCATTTTGTTGCTTGGTTTAGTCTGGAGAATTCAAACTTCACACCCAAACCAAGCAACAACCAATCAGCTGAAAGGGCGCGAACCAAATCGTGCCAATCAGCACTCGAGGGAGGAAGGAGTTTCACCACCCAATTCGAAGAAAGGGCGCAAAACTTGGGTGCACCAATCAGTGTTTGGTAAGGAGAGGGGATTCGCCGCCCAATCAGGAGAAAGGACACGAAACATGACTGGGCGCTCCTGCTCTGATTGGTTGCTGGCGCCCCGCAGCAATCAATCAGCGCTCACTCGTGCTGACCAGGAGAATGGCGCGAACCCAGTTTGAAGGAAAGCTCCTTCTCCCATTGGTCAACACGGACTTCTACCCAGACATCAGGACTCTGCGGCCATTAGACCAACTAACAGTCCTAGGGATTCCCTGCTGGTGCACGTTCCTCTCTCCGGTGGATATCCCCGCTGGTATCCACCTGAGAGAGGACTCTCCTTTGCAGCCAAAAGCCTAGCCTCACAGCTCCAAGGTAGGATGGGTAAGGAGTGATTATAGCCCCATTGGGAGCAGGTAGGACGATCCCCGACATGGGGATTGAAGACAGTGCGTGCAGGCCGGTTTGGGGTATGAATGCTCCCCCTGGTTGGGGTTCGGTGATACAAATCCGCATCCACCCAGAGGAAGCATGCGCCGCTTGTTTCCCTTGCGGTCTGTGGTTTTCATACCTCGTTAGCGAGGTGTGAATATTCTAACTGCTGACGTATTTCAACTGCAGCCGTCTTCAGAGATCTCGTCTAATCCAATTCTTCTTATTGAGAATGTGAATCAGTAAAATCTTTCATGTTTTGCGTATAAAATTCTGATATCAGTTGGTTAGAGCAGTGGTAATGAAACTCAAATCCCAGTCAGACCACTTCACCAGTAAGTGTTCTGGGCAAGACAACCAACCATATATAACTGCATACCTCAAATCCTCATAGATTGTAAGCTTGTTTGAGCAGGACATTCTTCACCTCTTGATATCTCCTTTTTATAATTGTAAAACACTGTGGAATATGTTGGCACTATATAAATAATATTCATAATAATACCTGTGTGTTTCCGTCAATGATTATTGTAACAATTTAAGTTCTCAGTTTAAAAAGAAGAAAGCTTTTAAAAGGATGGTCAAAAACAAAGTTATTGTATTAAACGCCAGTACAGTTCATTTTTAAAAAAAAATTAATTTCTACCTTTTTGTTGTACAACTTACATACATTCACATCACTGAGCCAAGCCTTGAAATTTCACATACAAACGTACGTGGCCAATCCCTCAAATAGTTGTATAAATAGAATATATTATTTACTGACTACTTGTGTATTGTCAACCAGGAATGCCATTTATGCAAGGAGATTGTATAACACCAGTCTCATCTAGAGGCCTGAAACGAAAGTCTTATATTTTAAGAGCTCTACTTCCTTAATTATAATGGTATCGGTTAACTTATGATACATTTATATTTTTGAATGCTGAATTATTCATTGCAATTTATAAATATCCATGCTTCATCAAAATCGACCTGAATGCTTCCATGTTATTGTTATAACAAAGATAAAATGCTTTATGGATACAATAAAAAAATACCTGCTATATTACTGGATTT